CATTACATGCAGAAAAAGCCTATAACAAAATCCAACATCCTTTCATGGTAAAAATACTGAAGAAAATAAATATAGAAAGATCTTTTCACAGTCAGATCAAAGCCCCTTATGTCAAGCCTATTTCTGACTTGATATTAAATGGGCAAAAGCTGAAAAATTTCCTTGTAAAATGAGAAAGGAGCTGGGCATGGTGGTGCATGCCTGTAATCCCAGCACATGAGAGACTGAGGCAGGAGGATCACTGTGAGTTCAAGATCAGCCCAGGCTACAAAGGGAGCTCAAGGCCAGCCTGAGCTGCATGGTGAGTCCCACTGTCAAAAAACAATTAAAATGAGGAAAAACACAGTGGTGTCCATGATCACCACTCTTGTCCAATACATTTCCCAAAACTTTGTCAGAGTAATCAGACAAAAGGAAGAAATGAAAGAGATACGTCAAGAAAAGAAGACAAAATCCTCTTAACAAAAGACCAAAACACTCCACCAAAAAATTATACAATTAATAATCAATTCAGTAGCTCAGTGACATTTAAAATTTACTCACAAAAAATCAGTAGTGTTCCTGGACACCAAAAGTGAGCTCACTGAGAAAGAAATTAGAAGAAAAACTGTCATTTATAATAGCTTCAAGAAAAATTAAATATTTAGGCAGTAACAAAACCAATAAAAAAGTCAAAAGCCTCTACAATAAAAATTAAAGTAATATGAAAAAGGAAAACAAAAAGGAAATCCCTTGTTCCTGGATAAGAGAAACAATATTGTCAAATGGCCATATTTCCAAGACTGATGTATATATTTAACACAATCCTAATCATAGCACTAATACCAATCCTCACAGATCTCGAGTAAATAATCCTAAAACTCATGTGGAACTGGGCAAGACCTAGAATAGCAAAAACAATCCTTGGCAACAAGAGCAAAGCAGGCAGCATCATAACTGAGAGCTTCAAGTTATATTACAAAGTTACAGTGATGAAAACAGCACGGTACTGGCACAGAAACAGACATGAGGATGAATGAAATGATTCCAGTTAGCCTCTTTAACAAATATGCTGGGAAAACAGACTATCCACATGCAAAATATTAAATGTAGACCCACGTCTCTAACCTTGTGCTATACTGAAATGAAAATGGATCAAAGATCTAAATGTTAAAACAGAACATTAAATCTGCTTGAAGTTAAGAGAGGTAAAACTCTTGAAACCGTAGGCATAGGCAAGGACTTTCTGAACAAAATCACAATTGCAGAAAAAATAACATCAAGAATCTTCTAAAAGAATTATATCAAATTTAAAGCTTCAGCAAAGCAAAAAAAACAACCACCAGAGTAAAGAGACAACCTATAGAATAGGAAGTTTTGCTAGATATTCCTCAGAGGACTAATGTCTAGAATATATTAAAAACTCAAAAAAAAATAGAATTCTCAAAATAAAGGACCCAATTTTAAAATAGACTACTGAGAGTGCAATGGAAAACAGAAACACTGAACCAAACTCAGGATTTGGAGGCAGATTTATATACACCAACAGGCACTGATCAGGATCATTCCCAAAATATCAGGCCCTGATATCTGGTGTTCTAGAGTTTATAAGGGGTAAGCAAGTAGGGAGTAAAGAGGCAAAATGGCTTGTCAATTGGGGGTTGGTTCTCATAATATACATCATAGTGTCCAGCTAGGCATCACAGTGACCGTCCATTTCTAAGAAACAAAAGTAACAGGAACTGTAACTGGAAACTTTGTCTTTTTGAGACAGGGTCTCCTATGCAGTTCAAGCTGACCTTGAGCTCACTTTGTAGCCCTCAAAGGGCTGGTCTCAAACTCACAATAATTCCCTACCTCAGCTCTCTAGTGCTGGGATTACAGGCATGCACCACCACACCCAGCTTGTAACTAGAACTATTACCTGGGCAACTAAGAAACTGAAGTATACTGGCTGGGGCGGGAGAGAATTTTCTGCAACAAGATGAATGGAGACTGCTCAGGACAAGAAGTAAAAAGAACCCATAAATATAAGGGAAAAAAATGTTCAACATTCTGGTCATTAAAGACAAGCAAATTAAAACAGCACTGAGATTCCATCTCACTCCATAAACAAATGTATCATCAAGAAACCAAAAATAATAACAAAAACTCATGAGGTTCTGAGGGAAAAGGATCTCTTCTAACTTATGGGTGGGAATGTAAACTAGTACAGCCACTGTCAAAATGAGTATGGAGATTTCACACACAAAATTAAAAATAGAAATCTACTTGATCTGTATATTCCCCTTCACATTATCTTCCCAAAAGATTTAGACATCATATTACAGTGATACATGCACAGCCATGTTTATAGCAGCACAACTCGTACTAGCTACCTCTTGGAAACAGCTGATGAATAGACAAAGAAAATGTCAGATTTGTGCAGAATCTGCTAGAGTACTACTAAACCATACTAGTTTGAGTCATTTGTAGGGAACAGGTGCTCCATGAGGCAATAATATTAAGGGAAATAAATCATACACATGGGCTAAACATCACATAATTTCTCTTATATGAGAGCATTAAGAATTTAAAGAGAAAAAAGACTGAGCTTGGGAGACAGAGAGATTGATCTTTTGCAAGTGAGAAGGGAAACAAGAGGTGGAGGAAGGTAAGTGAGAGGACAGGAGAAGGGGAAGTGAAAAGAATAAAGGTGTGTTATGTTCATTACCAAAATCCTGCGAAGAGTGGAATCATCATGTACTACAAACATATGCTCATAAAAACATAAAAAATTTAAAAATTAAAATAAAGGTGAGGTATTTCTTCAGCTTCCTCATGCTCAGAATGAGAACTTGTGCTACACCAGGGAAGGTTTGACACAGCCTGAATCTCATCACTTTTCTGGGCCTGCTGGTGAGTCTGACCCTGGAATATTCTACATATGCCTGGCCTTTATTCTACCTGCAACTGATTCTACCTGCTGTTCCTGGCCTCCATTCTACCTGCAACCAGTGTAGTGTTTCTGTTCATTCAAATTGGCCCAGTTCTGCCAAGTTGTGAATAAATTCATTTTTCCATTTTTATGGGTTTATCACCTAACATTGAGGCCAATAAAATGAAGCTAAATGTTCAGGAGGCCCAGATTCAGGCCTCTGGCCAGGTCCCCCAGAACAAGGCAAATGGCAAATAGAAATAAAATATTGACAGAAATTTGGCAATAAAGGCCTACTCTTTCTACTATAATGACACCTTTTTAAAGTTAAAGAGAGGGATCAAAACATATTTTAAATGCATTAAATTCTTTAATAGACAACTTATGCAAAAAAAAAAAAGAATAGTGGCTGCTTGTTTCCCTTAGGTTACCCCTCCAGTCCTTGCCAGGGCTATACTCTCATCATTCACGTCTTTCTCAGGTGTCTCCTCTCACATCAGGTGACCACCGACCAAAGCAGCATTACTTCCAACTCTGGACTATCATTCCTTTTGATCTCATTTGGGACTCTTAAATGCCCTGAACCAAAGAACATGTGGGTTCTACGAGCACATTTAGTCAGATTCCTTCAAGAAGGAATTTGGAGGGCATTTCCATCTATGACAAGCTCCCTAAAGAGATGTTGTGCTCAGCATAGGATGATCAGGCACTCTTAGCCCTGCTCCATGCCTGTCCTCTGGGACATGTGGAAGTAAAGCTCTGGGCTTTTTATCCTGATGGTCTTCATCTGCATCGGTTCTAAGGCTAATCAAAAAGAACTTTGTTCACTGGGCCCATACCTTCTCAAATAGCTGTGTTACTTTTTTCTGACTTTAGAATACCTGCAGCACAGGGCCCTCTGAATGATGGTAAATAAAAAATTGTGTATATAATTAAAATCTGATATTTCAAGTCTTTAGTTTTTATAATACAAATTAGAGGAAGTAAAAAAATCAATCTTGACAAATTTTACTCTTGTTTAATATGCAAAGAGCCCAGCTCTAAGCTGTGCCTCCTTGGAGGATATTATGGCTTCTGTCTACATGTTCCCCAAAGCCTCATGTGGTCATAGGTGGGGCTTTTTCAAAGGTAGCTGGATCTAGAGTGTGTGTTGCTGGGATTGCTTCATGGTGCAATGCTAAGATTGAGGGCACTAGGATAAACGGTGTGAGGGCTACCCACCCTGAGTGGCCTGGTTAAGATACAAGGGATGGAAAGAACTGTGGTGATCCCTTGCTTGCTTGTCGCTTTTTTGTTTTCAGCTTGTCAAGAACTGCTTCTCCTCTGCGATGTCCCTCTGCCAAGCTACCCTGCCCTGAAGCCAGCCCATTATGGACTGAAACCTCTACACACTGTGAACTAAATAAACCTTTCCCCTTTAACTTTGGGTGTTGGGTATTTTGTCTTAGCAATGGGAAAAGCAACTAAAACAGAGGCGATACCAGGTGCCTAAGGCAGAAACAGGTATTCATGGGACTTTTATGACGAGTGGAAGGAAGCAAAGGTAATACAAGTGCAAGGAGAAGTAATGTTGAGGGAAACAAATGTTGCTTTTCTGAGTGTCAGTTCCAGGATGTGCATAGATCTTATAGGTCCAACAATCTCTTTACATAGGCAAAGAACTCAGTCCTCTTAGACTAGGGAGTCATTGGAAGATGTGTAGATTGGGAGCATATTTTGTTTTAAATTTTTTTTTAAAAATCTCTTTTATCTTTAAAGATTATGGCAAGGTTGGATTGTGTAATTATATGACTGCCAGTTGACACAGAGGCAGTGTCAGCAACATTAATTCCTTGGTATCAGAGCTTCATATACAGGTATATTGAGGCTCCACCCAGAATCTGGCAAGGAAATGCCCCCACACTTTCCCTGAGGCTGTCCCTCAGTTATGGTGTCATGCAGTGCAGTTACAAGGTGGGGATGAGCCAAATGAATTGTTCCCAGCTCAGTTGCTGGGAACCCCTAAGTCAAAGACTTGTTCAGCTGGTTTTTTTTTTGGTGTGCATGCAAAGAAAGGGGAATGGCTTCCAGAGGACATAACCTGCTTTGAACCTAGAGCCTCACAGACTCAAATACCCCTGCTTGTGCTCTGTAGACTTCTGGCTGGGAAGGACTTGAGAGTTGAGGTGCTATGCTCCAGAACTCTGGTCCAGACCTGGTCTCCTGAAAGAGAGGGGCCCTTGCTGTGCTCCTTTCCCCAGAAGACTGCACGGAAAATTGAGTCACATTGGTGGAAGAAAACACAGTGAGGAGAATTACACTGATCTGGCCTAGAGTTTGTGACAGATTCTGCTTGTCATCAGAAAGCCTGAAGACTGGAAGGGACCCTGCTCAGCTGCTCTCTCCCCTTCCAAGACAAAAGCGACACACAGTCCGGTGAGTGTAGTGGAGGTCAGAGAATGAGCAAAGGTAGCTACACAGTCAAAGACAGGAATGTTCAGGAGAGGCTTATCAAAGATGGTTTCCTTACAGAATTTGACCAACAAAAAAGAAGATGCTTCTGCCTTACATTCTGCTTGGGAGAATTAATGAGGAATTCCTGAGACCATGGAGGCTGTGGGCCATGTCTTTTATACATCCATGTCCAGGCCCAATTATGGCGTTCTCCTTGCTTTATATCCCCATTAGCATTTGGTGTGGTTTTTGTTTTGCCTGCTCTAATAGGCATGAGTGATTTCTCACTTTCTAAACTTGCAATATGCTAAGATACATGATGTTGAACATATTTCCATATGCTTTTTTATTTTTGTATCTATTTTGATGAGATGTCTGCTCAGGACTTTTGCCTGTTAAAAATATTTTTTTTAACTGGCTGGCTGTTTTTCCTTTTTGTACAATCCTCATCTGGTTTTAGCCAGAAATTGCCAAACCCTGTTAATACTACTTGAAAAATATAAATTTTTACATTTCCTTGAATATTTGATAGTTCACCTAAAATCTACCTGGACCTAGTTGAAGATTTACATTGGTATGTATTTTTTAACTTGATTAAATGTCTTTAATAGTTCCAGGTCTTTTAAGATTAAGTATTTATTTTTAGGATTCTTTCTTTTTCTGTTTGGTATCAGGAATCGAACTCAGGACCTTGTGTTTGCCAGGCAGGCATTTGTCCTGCTGAGCTATATCCCCAGCCCTTAAGTATTTATTTTTAATTATGTTTGTATAAGTTATTTTTTCCTAGGATATTGTTCAGTCCATCTAATGTTTATATTTATTAGCAAAAATTTACATTTGGTTATTTCTGTGATTATATTCTCTTTTACTTCCTAAATCAGTTTATTTGTGCATTTTCTTTTTTTCTTTCCTGCTCAAGCTTGAACAAAGTTTGTCTTTTTTTTTTTTTTTTTTTTTTGTAGTACTGAAGATTGAGTCCAGGGGCTGTTATGTGCTAGAAAAGTACTGTACTACAAGCTGTATCCCCAGCCCTTTTTAAAAGCTTTATTTTGAGACAAGGTCTCACTACATCGCCAAGGCTAGCCTCAACCTTGGAATCCTCCTGCCTCAGCCTACCTGGTAGTGAGGATTATAGGTATGTACCACCATGCCTTGCTGGTGTATCTGTTTTGTCTTTTTCTAAAACCAGCTTTGAAGCCTTTTTGGCTTCACTAGCATATTTTTTTCATTACTTCATTAAATTTTTACTTTTATTTTACCTGTATTTTTACCTTTATTTTTTTCTTTCAATCTTTTGGATCAACTTTATTGTTCCTATTGCTAAAAACTTGGTTTGAATGGTTAATTCATGTATTTTCAGCCATTCTTCTTATTTTCTGAAAAAAAAAAAAAAAAAAAAAAACTTCAAACTTCTAATATATTTGTGCCAGATTAGTTTTATTCCATAAATTTTTACCATTATTTCCTGTTTAACTTGTGAATTATTTAGACATGGATATGTCTTATTTTATTCCCATATATCCTGGCATTTAGTATATTTCTATTCTGTAAAAATTAATGGAGGTGAGATAAAAATATGACCTGAGTAATAATGATTCTTGATTTTCATAGACTTGCTTTGTGACATGGGTTCTGTCTGATGAACTTTTACTCTATATGTGTGATGAGAATGCGCGATCTTTTCAGAAGGTGTGTGTCATTTTCTCTGTGCCCGTTACAGCATTTCATAACTGCATTGTTCATGTCTTCTTTGTCATTGTGATTTGTAGAAATATTTAATCAACCAATTACAGTATTTGTTCTTAACTTTAATAGTATTTGTTCTTAACTTTCAAGGCTACTTTGCTAGACTCACCTATGCTTTGAGTTATTGAATGTTCTTCTTATAAAGTGACCAGGCAAATAACTATCCTTGATGGCACTGATGATGATTTATAATGATGCATGTATTTATTAGCAAGATGATTTGGTGAGTACTTGTCTATGTCAGTGTGCTGGGCTCTGAGAGATGAGAGACCATTTCTATTGTACTCACATAGGGAAATATTTCCAGGACAGGGTGTAGCGTTTAATAGGTATTCATTAAAAAAGCTTGCTGACTGAATGACTAATAATTGAATGAACAACTCAGCTAATATCTGTTTACCTTTGGGAAGGGAAATGTTTTTCCTTGTACCTCTAACTAATTAAATATGTGCTCAGTAGTTTTCTCGACCTTGACAGGGACAGGTAGTCTAGGAACCTCATCTCTGTTCCTGGATGGCCATCTGCTAAGTAGTTGTACGAGTACCACTTAGGAGCCATTCCAGGCATCTTTTGGGTGTGCATGCTGCTTTCCTGTGCACTTGTGATGAAGACCAAAACCCCCTGGGAAGATTTCAACTGACTGTGTCACTCTCCTTGCATGACATATTAAGGCCCACTTAATCCCTCCTGTAGCGGCGAAGGGACTCCACAAGGAAAACCCACCTTGCCCTCACAAGTACACCAAATGCACACAGAATGGCACATCATTTATTCTCTGGAATTTCCCGGCCACTTACCCTTTCCGTGCCATGACTCATGGCTCCCGTGTCATCTTCTCTGCTTACATCGCACTCTCTGCTCTGCACCTCCCTTCACTCACTCACTTCCTGGCAAAGAAGCCGGTTCAGAATTGCTTTCTTGACATTCACAGCACTTTCCTGAGCTGTTCCGAGTATGGGAGCTGTGAGCGCTCACAGAGGCCACCTCACTCCTCACTCTTTTCTTAGATATTGTCTCTACCATCAGTGCAAGTCCAGGACCTGGTCACTTCTCACCACTTCACCTGCAATGATTTGATCTAGTCCACTGACAACTTGTACCTAGATGATAGCAAAACCACCCCAGTTGTGCACCCTACTGCCTCACTATTGTAACCACAGGCACGATGCCAACTGGCGCACCAGATGTGTCTTTTGTGGGCTCACCCTGTTGAGGATTCCTGTTCTCACTGCAAGTCAGGGAAAGAGAAGACAAAGACCACCTGGGGCCAACTGGGCGCCAGTTTGTTCCCTGTTTCTTCTGACCCTGTCAGCTTTCTTTTTGCTCATTTCTTCGGACATGCATGGGTTCAGACTTTGCAGTAGCTGATTGCTCTACCTGAGTTAGAGATGATGGGCAGCAGGCTGTGTTTCTACAACGAGGAGGAGCAGCAAATTTCACAGCAGTGCTTCTGTCAGAGGCTCAGGTTGTCCTTAGAACACTTAAGAGACTTATGATCAAGTTGACATGCTAAGACTTGATTTCTCATGTGTAGGTTTTTGTCCTTTATGAAAATATCTGAAGTCAGTGAGAGTTAACCCTTCTCTTCCTCTTCCCAGGTGCTCTTTATGTTCCTTCCTATCAGGGATCTCTTAAAAACAACAAGGAGCAAGGAAACAACAATTCAACAACTGCAATACGAAGCAAAGAAAAACAATGTCAGTTGAATAGGTATTAATGAAACAGCAGGTGTCAACACAAATGACATAAAAAGACTCTTTGCAGAAATAATAGCAGAAAATTTCCCAGGCATGGAAAAAAAATTGGAAATCCAGATAAGTGAAGCATATAGAATTCCAGTTAATCATAACCAAAATATTCTCTCTTATCTGCTTCTAGCAACATGTCCAACATATTTGAGCGGGCGAGCAAGAACATGATCAAACGTCTTGGTGGGAAAGACATGAGGCCTGTCACATGTGCGCTGGATGCCAACAAATTCCGTCAGTTTAGTATAATACTGAAGAGATCTCGATTTTTGATCGGGGAAGGTCCTGATGACATTCCAGTTGGATATTCTCTCATGCAAATTCTGGAACCCAGTTCTTCAGTCCCAGGTATTATCAGCCAGGGGAAAGGATTCCTGGTGTGATAAACAAAGTACTCAAATATCGTACAGCATCCAGGAATCCCCTTAGACAAGAAGATCTCAGGATCCGCCTTGCCTGAGGGCAAGGGACAAGGTGCTAACATTAACAGGCATTCATTAGATTTTAATGTTTACAAGAGCCTTATGAGTGGATTCATTTTCCATAAAAGTAAATAGAGGTTTATAAGATAATTTTTTTCAAAGCTTTACACCTGGGAGCTGGTAGAACTGGGCCCCCAAACCCAGGCCAGTCTGTCTCCAAATCCCTAACATTTTCCATTCCTGTGAGCTGCCCCTGGAGGTGGGATGCTGCACCCATGGCCTCCTGGACACTAAATTGATGCTTCCGCCTCTTAGGGATAAGAATTTACCCCTATTGTGAAACACTGGGATGGACTGGAGCACTTGCCCTCTGTGATAATTTACTTCTAATATTAATTACCTTCTTGATTAATTTACTTCTAATATTAATTACCTTCTTGGTTTAAGTGAAGAGAGGGTTGGGGCAAAAATTGCCCCTTGTTTTTTCTATTTCCATTACCAACTATTCCATGATGAAATCTTGGCTACATCTCTCTGGTCCCCTTTCTCTTTCTAGACTCTGTAATATCTGGTCCACTTAGCACCGTGGACTTTGAAGTCAAGAAGCTGACTGCTGATGTGGGTATCAATGTTGGTGTGGAAGTGAGTGTGTCAGGAGGAGTCACTCGGTCCCATGGATCCACTCTTGAGATTCAGAGTGTTAGCATCCCGAACTGCAATCTGGAAATCCTTCAAAACAGGTGAGGTCACTGGAGACTTTTACCGATTTTATCTTTGAGCAGGTTAAGTGTTTTTGTTTTAAAATTTGGATCTTTGATCCATTTTGATTATAGTTTTGTACACAGTAAGAGATATCTTCTGTATGTGGATACCCAGTTTTCCCAGAACCACTTGTTAGAGACACTATAATTCATTAACCATGTGTTTGTGGCCCCTTTGTCAAAGATCAGACAGCTGAATGTACCTTGAGTTGTAACCCGTTATCTCTTTAAATAAATTTTATTTCTCTCTAATCCATCTGAAGAATATTGTGTATTGTTTTGCTCAGTGATATTCCACAAATCCTGTAAACATTCTTGACTCCTTTTCATTCTTTTCATTGTTGTTCCATTTGTTGATTCGTGATGTTATTTGTTGTGTGATTGGTGCTTTATTCCTCTGGATAGATAGCTTCATTTAACTTTCTTTGAGTTTATTGATTTATTATTTGTTTGATTGAGTCTTCTATTTCAGACATATAAGGGGCTTGAATTTCCCTCCAATGTCAAGGGGAAATCCTAGCACATGTATTTGATGTTCTGTGACCTTCCCTGTTGAGCAAGTTACATTAAAGATCCCTGTGTTCCACAGGAATGTGAGTCAGGACACCAACTCCACTGGGATTTTGAGTAGATTTAAAATTGAGCCCCAGGACTAAATGGAGAAGAAATCTGTTCTTAGCATTTCAAACCTGTCTCATCCTTTAGAACTAACATGCTTGTGTCATCCACCAATCCACTTTGTGTAGACGGTCAGTCCTTAAAATCCCACATGGGTTATTCATAAAATCATCCAGCCTCTTTCCTCCTAGGTCATACTTATATTTTTTTTTCTTTTAGACAGGGTCTCCCTACATAGATCACACTGGTCTTGAACTCACTGTGTAGTCCAGGCTGGCCTTAAACTTGCAGTCATCCTCCTGCCGCAGCTTCCCAAGTGCTGGGATTGCAGGTGTGCCCCACCATGCCTGGAAATACTGATTCTGCTCCATAGCCCACCCTGATTGTAACCTGGACATGTTAGTGTGGATGCTTAACTTTGAAAATAAGGCCTTCTGAGGACTCTTCTTAATCATCTGGACTCCTCTACTTTTGCCTTTTGCAAGGTCTTAGGGTGTAAAATCCATAAATTGTCCAGTATTGGGATCAATGTAACTTAGTAAAATGCAGGTAGCCTAAACAATACAGGACACACACTCTCACACCTATACTACTATTAGACAACAGGGTCACTTCCATGGTGCCTAGCAAAGATGTTCTTTCTCCTATGCACCTCAGTCTCGTGATCCAATATGTCCCTCCCCCCTAGAACTGCACCCCTTCCAGGTCTTGAAAAGTGTAACCTAGAAAGTGCTGAAGGGCACCACATGCCCATGCTGAGCTTTGCTCTTCGTGTGCCCTCAGGAAACTGTTGGACCAAGAGCCATCATTTTTGAGTATTTGCCGAAGGAGAGGGGACAACCTATATGTGGTGACAGAAGCTGTTGAACTGACCAAAGATACTGTTCTGTGTGACAACAGCAGTGTGGCTCTTTCAGGAAAAGTGTCTATCCCTCAGGTTACTTCTGTCAAGGTATGGAATGGGGACGCCAAGAATGCAGCCAGCCTAGGCTGCTTAATATTTCCCAAGAGGCACTGGAGCGCGATCAGAACCTGCTCTGAGGGGGTCAGAGGTGGTTGCTCATTATTTCCTACTGGCCGTGTGCCAAGATCGCCTGCCCTCTGACCTGTGACCACATCCTAAAATCCTCATGGACAATGCTTATATATAGAATTGTTTAGCATTGGTAAAATGAAAAATAGATTTAATTATTTGGTATTTATTTATTTTATTTTTGTAATATTGGGTATTGAACCTGGGACCTTCACACTGAGCTACATACCCAGCCTCTTTTTATGTTTAATTTTGAGTCAGGGTCTTGTCAAATTGCTAAGTTGCCTAGGCTGAGTAGAACTTTCAAACCTCCCGCCTTAGCCATCCAGAGTGTTGGAATTACTGGCGTGAGCCACCACACCTGGCTTTGGTGTTTGATTTTGTTTTTGATAAATAACATACTCTAAAACATCTAATGTGAAAGTTTGGTACCAGGTACACGACTACTTTCCTGGCTGGAAGAAACAAGGGGCCAGAAACACCAAACTTCAGTCATTAAAGTAACTTTAGTTCTATGGTAACCTCAGAAGAAATGCTTTCAGGAGTGAAAATTAAATACTTTCAAGCGCACACAATTTACATACTTTACTCACCATAACCTAATATAATGTTTTAATTAATATAAGCAAATTGATTTATCAACTATTTTTTCAAATTGTATGAACTGGAGAATTATGTCCTTTTCCACACTATATTTTCTGTATCATTGGTCCTCTCTCTCAAATTCAAAAATAAAGAACAACCTGAGCTACACACTCACTTTCCTACAGTTGGTGAATTAGTCCTGGGGGAGGCCCAAGCTCCACCCAGGTAATGGGACCCAAGTTTATTGAGTCTGTCTAGATCCGCATCACAGAGTGTAACCAGGGAGTTTTGGGACAGTCACCTCAAAAAGAAAACTGCACCTGGTTCTAAAAGAAGAAAAGAACTATGGTATTCCAAGTAACTTTAGCCTAGAATTCTGTGTCCAATCAAAGTATCAATCAAACGTGAGTCGCAGATGTCTTCAGGTATACAAGGTGCTAAAGCCCATGTCCCCATCTGCCCTGGAGAGAATGCATCAAGTGACAGAAGAGGACAATGTCACCTTAAGTGATAAAGGCAAGACGCGCAGTGGGGAGAAGCAGCATCCCCACCCCAGACAGTGAATGTAAACGTACACAACCTTGGGAACTTAATCTTTCAGGAGGCTGGGGGCGACGTGAGGGGAGGCCGTGAGGGAAGAGGAGGAAAATGAGACCCATTTCAGCAGAAAGAGAAAGCTAATTGTAAACTTAATTGGCAAGAATCACAACAGTGCAATATAACGATGGAGACATGTAAATATTGGTAAATACTGGACGACAGGAAGAAAAAAGGCAAAAGCTGGGGAAAAGGAGAGGGCAGAGTGGGGAAGTTCAGGACAGTGGGTGTTTTTGTCTATGCATTTCCTAGATGTATTTGAGTTTCAAATTGCATGCATGTGTTACTGTGATTAAGAGTAAGCATGATACTCAGTGGTGTTTCAAAAGAACTAAGAACTGTTTTCTCTTCCCAGGGTGAAGGCCAAGGACAAGGCCAGCGGGAGACAACAATGAGGGTCCTTCAGGGCACGGTGATGGCCTACAGGAAGAAGAAGCTGGTCATCAAGGACAAATACTGCAGTGAGCAGGAACTGAGGGGGGGGGGTCCCTTCTCCTGAGGGAGGCAGAGCAAAAAGGCCACTGTGTGTAGCCTCTGAGGCTCTCCCTGTCCAGCGAGCAGGATAGGCAGCATTTCTCCCCATCTGGGACACACAGATGTCCCCCCACCCACAGCCACCTCCTGGCATGGCCCAGCTTAAATGTTGCTGGAAGATTCAAACTGCCTCCTACACAGACGCGGACCCACTTAGGATGCCCTGTTTGGAGATGTCCGCAGCACTGGGCAGTCAGGCCCTAATCCCAGCCATTTCTAGTCATTCCATGTCCTGCCACTCTCAGCAGCTCAGCAGGGGGAGCCACCGAGCCCTCCCAGGTGACCCAGAAAGTCACACCAAAGCCGGAAAAGTCAACAGCACAATCGCAAACAAATCCCAGACGTAATGTCCTAACAACATAACTCAGAACTTTAGCTACATCTCTCTTCCTTCACTGCCCCTCAGATGCGCCTCATGCCGTCCCCTGTCCTGACTCCTCCGGGCTGATCTGTGTGTGTGTGCGGTGTGTGCCGGATGGGAGTACGGCTCTGAGTCCTGGGTCTCTGATCTCCTGCAAATCTGGTCAAGGGACGGTGCTGGTGCCACTGACCTGTCAGTGGCAGTAGGCAGAGGGAGGCCGGACTCTGATCGAGAGCAGTTGGTGGGCTCTGGTTCCCACGGAGGATACTGCGCGCAGTCACATCGCCACTGGGGCTCAGCAGGGAGGAGAAAAGGAGGTCAGAAACAACTGCCAGGGCCCCCCGAGATGGCAGTGCTGGTAAAGATGACGGAGAATGACAAGGTGCCTTTAACGCAGGGAGGAGGTGAGAGGGAGCCACTTTCAAAAATATGAACAACAACAAAACAGAAAGTAAATGGTCTGATTAAAGGAGACCCCAGAGATCATGCTGGTGCTATCCAGGGAGAATTATACCCGTGTTCCTTGGCGACTGAAGCCAGGGGACTTCCCTGGAGGATGAACTGCAGTGACTGAGGTGGGAAGGCAGGGAAAACTGAGCACACAGCGCAGACCCCTAGGGGAGCTGGCTGTGAGTGGAGGGGAAGAGAGAAGCCACACCTGGAGGGGGCAGAGGGGTGATGGGTGGGTACGGAAGCTGCAGAGGCCCAACCTCTCCGCCAGGCCAGGATGGAGCCTGGTGAACTGAAGAGGCTGAACCCTAGTCAGTCACATCCCCAATGTGTCTCCCTTCCCCATGTCTGCTCATAGATGAGGTCTCATTTCCATTTCACAGATGAGAAGGCCGACGCTCGCAGGGACCCTAATTGTCCCTGAAGTTACTGGACAGTGCGACGGTAAAATGTTAAATGGCTCTTCACGTTATTTCCCTTTAGATTTTTTTATGAAGATGAAATTCATTCTCCTAAGTCAAACACATTTTACGGCGTTGATTTCTCTCCTTTCAGCTAGACCTACACTGTGTAAACAGATAACCCAGTGCCCCCTGGTGGCCACAATGCGACTTGCATGCACTCTCTGGAGGTTAACCTTTTGTCTAAATTCATTCAGTTCACCCTTGCCAACACTTGGAATCTTCTTTGTCATCTTCCTGGGCTCTTTTACTGTGCCAGGCACTTAAACTGGTGTTAGACAAGTGTAAGACCTCGGCACATTTCTATAGATGAAACCTCTACTTACCAAAGATTGCAAGACTGGGAGTTGGTAAGTAAACAGCAGAATGCCAAGAAAAGGTTTACAGGAAGGCGATTCTACAAGGTGTGGTAGGAGGCAGCCCATCTCTTTTACTTCATGAATGTCGGAGGGAATAATGATCACCCAAGGTGCTTAATTAAATGGAGACTTTAGGGCATCCTTCAGAGGACCTGATTCATGAGACCCAGGGGCTTCTGATCTGACGAGCGCCCCAGGTGGCAGACACAGCTCCCTAAGCTGCAGGTGCAGGGGACAGGAATGACAGGCAGGAGTAACTGCAGTGGTGCTAATCGGGTTTCTTCTCCATTCAGGCGTACTTGTAATCGATGACACGAAGCAGAGGACCTTTCAGTATGGTGAGTCCCAGGGCCCTGCTGAGTGCTGACCCCCTTTGGATATACCACATGAGCTTTTCTTGAGTTGAGCCACGGGCAAACTTTTCATGCCAGGCTTCTCATCCCCTGCCACTGGCCTCTTCTTCAACCCAGCTACAGACCCCGGGGACCAAAGGGAAACCAGCTTTGGTCCTTTGAACTCTGGGATAAGTGAGACTTTGTCAGGTGTCCTCAGCCAGAGAAATCGCTCTATGGAAGTGTATAGTGAGAGACAAGAGGAAGGGGGAGGAGCTGGAAAGGTGAGCAGACTAGGGAAGAATGGAAAGCAGAAGAAGGGGAGGGAGACTAAGTCTCACGAGTGAACACTTCCCTTTGTCTTTCCAGAGCAACCTACACTGCGAAGTGCAGAAATGACAAAGCATCACTTTCAGTGTTCGCCCAGAAGCATTTGTGTAGAAGCGCCGGAGGAGCTAAGGAGAGAAATCTACAGTGAGCAGGAACCCAAGGGACGCAGCTGGGTGGGGGTTACTTCTTCTGAGGAGAAAGAGCAGAGGAAAAGCCAGTGTTACCACCTCTGCTGCTCTGCCTGTCCAGGGCACGGGATGAGCAGCGTCTCTCCCTGTCTGAGCACACATTTCCCACCACCCACAGCTGCCTGCTCCCATGGCCCAGCTGAAGGGGTGCCAGTGGGAGACGCAGAAACCTAGAACTGGATCCTCTTCTTGACACAAGGGGAATCCACCTGACGATGCCTTTGCTGCCATTACCCACTGTTTGCACTCGGGCATAATCAGGACCCCTGGGCATAGGAGAGGGGCAGATGGAAAGAGCAAGACAGAGAGAACAGAGGCAGAATCTGGGAAAGCCGAGCCTTTGAGACTGACTCTTGGCTGAGCCTTTTATTTTCTCCTTCTAGAGATGGAGTTCAGTCCCATCCTTCCGATAGGTGAGTGAGCGTGTTCTGGCGGTGGGGGTGGGTCCCAGCCGGCACATACTGAGCCAGCAGGGCAACTCGCCCTTGCCTGGCTGCTGTGTCCTCTGCCCTGACTCTGGGTCCCGTGGAATGGGAGGCCCAGGGAGCCCAGCGAGGTCAAGGGACGGACGAACATGGAGGCGGCAAGGAGGCCAAACAGTAGGAGGTCTCAGTAGGAGGGCAGAGACTCCTGAGGTTCTCAAAAACAGATCTGGGGATGACAAAGGTCATATTTTGATTCTCTTTCTAGGAAGAATAGAGGAACCTTTTGGGAAAGGTAAGGGCTTATGAAGAGGGAGGGAAGCTGGGCTTCTGGGTGGGAAACTGAATCAAGTTCACTACTGAAATTAGAAGTCTCTATGCAACTCAGGAGACTGAGCTCTACTTCCAAGTGTGCGTGTTGGTTAGATCCCCTTATTCATACGTGGGGGAATGGACACTTACTGACCACTCCCTGGGCAGCAGTCATTGTTGCAGCACCTGAATATGTCAATTAATCAAACAGGGAGGCAGGCCCACTTCTTTAGAGCGTGTGCGGTGGTGATCACTCAGTCTCAGTGGATCGCCCAAGGCCACCTGAAGCCTCATGGGAGAAGCAGAGAGCTCAGAACATCCATTCTTCAGACACTGAATATGCCGGCCCAGCGGTGAGATGATAAGGGAGGCTCCTCTGTGCTGGGCACCTTGGGAACACAGACAGGCTCATTTAATCCTCGCCGTATCCCCGTTGAGCAGGTGTAGACATGGGCCCCAGAGCACCGAGGATTTTCACATCCAGAGCCAAGTACTGGATTTTACACCATTCCTGACTACCCCAGATGACGTTTTGGTCATTTTCTTCCACTTCCAGTGATTTCCATTCAGAATCTTTATGGCTGCTCCCAGGATTCTATCCCCTACTTCCAGAGCACTGAGCTTGTCCACCTTCCTAGACTCTCAGGACAGTTTCCTTGCCAGAGCCTGAGCCATGAGCAGACAAAATTTCAATCAGGATCTGAGAGGGATAGAGGAGTCTGGATCTATGGATAGGGAAGGTTTTATGATCCCAGGGCTACTAACTAAAGAGATGCCTCTGCTCTCTGGTCACTGTCTGAGGACAGGTTTCAGACTCCTGGAAGAGGAGGTTTCTGAGAATGTGAAGGCTCTGGCCTGGGTCTCAAAGGACGGAAGGGATGTCATGTTCCATAGTATCCTGGCCATGCTGGCGGACAGAGAGGCTCTGCAGAAGCTGATGGACATGGTGAGGGTTCCTCAGCTGCCTGGGTAGATTGGGCTGTAAGGGGGATGTTAGAGATCTGGCTACCAGTACACCTGAGGGAAGAGGGAGCAGTAAGTTTCCCCAAAGTGGGAAAGGTCAGAAGTGCGGCCCCCACATGACAATGATGGTGCGACTATTATTAACAAGAACACCCGTCTTCTGTAGTTGGAAATGGAAAACTTCAGTCATCTGGACGGCCCTGGTGGTAAGATCCTAGATGAGCTCCGACAAGGATCAAGCCCTCCCTGGATTAACCTAGAGAACCTCATTTTTTACCTCCTGGAAGTCTTACTAGGTAAGCGTGATTGGAGGGAAGTGGGGGAGAATCCTCACTCTGCACCCCAGACCTCGTACATGCAGCATTAGATGCCGTCTTTCCCAAGCCCTTCAGTTATCGTGCGCTTCATCCTCAGATCCCCGTTCTCTCTAAGGTCAGGAGGGCTCCCTGTGCCAACGCCTCATGCAACACAGACTGAGCTCCAGGCTCAGAAAGCAAGTGGCCACCGATCATATAACATCCTCTGAAGCAGATCCCAACCTCCACCCTCAGAATCCCAGCCCCTGGACCACGTTCCTTAACGTCCCTGAGATCATCTCTAGAGCAGAAGGACCTCCAAGTGCAGGGGGCTTTACATTCAGTATAACAGGGGTTGCTATTCTATCTCAGCTTCCCCTTGTCACTGGGTCTCCTTCACGGTGAGAGAAAAATGTCTAGAGTCTGAACCACTTTCCTTCTGTATCATGTCCCCTTCTCCAGTGCTGAGTGATGCCCAGTTTGTTCTGCTGGTCCAATCTGTGGAGAAGAGAATTCTGTTTCAGCAACGAGAGCTGGTGAGATATCCCGAGACTCTAGCACTCTTGGGAGAAGGGTGATGGAACCAGGAGGGGGGATGATTCTGGGGAAGGAGAGGTGATCAGCTTTTCCTGGGAGGGTAGATGAGATCCCAGTAAGGTCTCTCTGGACAGCAGCCTCGTTAGCCTCAGTCTACATCAGGAGTGTCTGTGCTTTGTGAACACACCTGCAGATGACCCCAACTTGTCTTAAGTGGCCAGGTCTTTGAAAGCTAAGAGGATTTGACATATATCTTGATATTATTACAAAGTTTCCATTTACAAATTGCTCTCTTTCTTCACATAGGAGGTATAGTCAAGATATATGTTGAATATTTAAATTAAAAAGTTATTACACTAAAAGACACATTGCCACTTTTTAGTCCCTGCCCCCAAATACTTACCCTTGGTTCGAACATACTGGTCCCATCACTCTTCCCACTTTGTGAATCAGTTCTGGAAGTCTTCTTTCCTGAATGTCTTTGTGCTGTGTGATCAAAATATGGTGTATGCTACTGCTGAGTGCCAACCAGTGAAGACACAGACTCATCAAAGCATGACAGTGGCCCTCATACTCCTTATGTATTGTGCAACTTCTGGCTCTTCCCCAAAGTCAAAACAACCATGAAAGGTAAACGTTTTGAGTCTATTCAAAATGCCCAGGCTATTGAGGCAGCTACTATAGGTCTACTGAGGACCCTAAGAAAAGACAACTTTTAGAACTGGCAAGAATGGTTGGGCCAATGTCTTCAGAGCTAGGGGGAATTTTTTTTGTTTTTTTTTTTTTTTTTTTTGGTTTTTCTCCGGTACTGGGAACCGAACTCACGACCTTGCGCTTGCCAGGCAGGCGCTTTTGCCGCTGAGCTAAATCCCCAGCCCCTAGGGGGAATATTTTGAAGGGGATTAATCGCAATGTGTCTTGTACATTTTAAAAATTTAAGCATTTTTTACTCCCTGATATGTACCTATAAATACCTACATGTGTATAGACCTGTGGATATACACACATATGTATACATCATAGACTCCCAGTATTTATTTCTATTCTAGAAGGTAGGTTCAGTATCCCTCTTTTGTAGCGGAGGAGCCAATGCACAATGGTCTTTCAATAACCTGGTCACACCAAGGCTTGGCGCAGAGCTTGGCCCCAAATCCTCTTCTGTTATCCTCAGTGGTCCCCGGATGTTGAGATGGAAAGTTTCTCCCCGAGTCCCAAAGGTTGATCTGTATAATCTGGTAATTCTTCTAGGTAAGGAGCATCCTAGAGCCAAATTTCAAGTACCCCTGGCACATCCCCTTCACCCTCCCAGCAGAGCTCCTCTCCCCACTCCAGGGAGAGGGCCTGCGCATCACCTATGCCCTGCTGGAGGGGTGCGGCCTTGAGATGGAGCTGGGGAGCCCCCGGTCAACCTGGCACCTGGAAGCCAAGATGCCCTTGTCTGCCCTCTATGCAGCTCTGTCACTGCTGCTGCAGCTGGCTAAGGACTGGCAGAGAGTTAGTCCAGGGCCTGGCCCAGCCCACTCAGTGAGAACCCTTGGCAGGCCTGGGAGGTCCCGCTGCTCCCATTTCCTCCCCGGGACCTTGATACATGTGGAGACAGGGGTTGGGAGAGACTTGAGGGAATGTTCTAGGGTGATGGAAATGCTTCGTTGATAAAGGTTAATAAATCTTTTGAAATGCCTCAAAAGTGTATTAAAGATTTAAACAGTGTAACATTTACTTCAAAATAAGATTAACAACTATTTACTGTAGTCAATAGGGTATATTTTGAATTTTGAAATGCATCAAAACGTGACCAAGAAAAACTGAATAAAAACTGTGAAAAACTGTGAACCGGTAAACTGTGAATAATTGGGGAATAAGAGTGGAGGCTGCTTTATTTCACCCTCTAGCATGAGGGCGCAAGTTGCCCTTCAGCAGGCTTTAGAGAGAGCTGGGACCACTGAAGAGCTCCGTTCACTCTTGGGAAGCCGAGCTGTGGTGTGGCCCCATGCAGTGAGTGCTTCCTTTCAGGAAGAGGAAAACTCATGCTCAGAGTCCTAGCTTGCCTCGGGGTTCTCTGAAATGTCTCCTGGGTCGATTTCCTGGTGCCTTGATGACTAACGCCATGCTCCCTTCTGTCCACTCTAGTCCTTAGCAAAAAGGATTTGGCCACATTCTTTGCTCTCCTGAAGGTCCTTTTTCACTCCTTGCATGCCAGAGCAGAGAATTCCCCACATCTTTCCTTTGTTTCCCATTTAATTACAAATTTCACTTTTAAATAATTTCTCTCTTCTGTCATTTTACAGCAAGCGTCCCCACAAGCCACACTGAGCGACACACCTTGAATGCTTTGCTGTTTAATTGCTTCTGCCAGATAGCCTCGTCCATCACTTCTGAGTTTTGTCTTCCATGCAGACCACAGAGACAGACACAATTCCAAGTTCTTTGCGACTGTATAAGGATGTCCTTTACACCGTTTCTAATACTCTATTCCTCAACCTCATCTGGTACCTTGTCTGAGTGGTATTCTGGTCACAAGTACAACTTCCAGACTTTCTCTACACTTTTCCTCTGAGTCCTCTACAGACTTCCCCCTAATACTTCCTTCATAGGTATCTAGCCTGTTCCTCTAAATTCTCCTATCCTCTGCTCATTACCCAGTTCCAAAGATGCTTCCACATTTCCTGATATTTGCTATGACCATAGTCCCACTTCCCAGTATCAATTTTCTTAGTCCATTTTGTAAAGCCATAATTGAGTACTGGAGGTTTTGAAATTCATGAAGACAGGGATTTATTTCTTACAGTTCTGGTGGCTGGGAAGTGTAAGTTGAGCACCTTCTTGCTGTGTCATCCCATAAGTGCATGGAAAGGCAAGAGAAAATTTGCCCACAAGACAGCAAGAGATACAATTTGTGCTCTCAAGTGTTTTTATAATCAGCATTATCCACTCATGAGGATGGAGGCCCCTGAGCTAAACATCTCTTATGAGGCCCCTCTTCTCAACTCTACTGTATTGTGAATTATGTGTACAATACTGCTTTATGGAAAAACACATTCAAATTACAGCAAGGGAATAAATGTGTACTTCTGTATGATTTAATTTATTCATGTTAATTGACCCCCAAATTACACATATCTATGAGGTACCATGTAATGTTTTGAGATATATACATATATGTGTATATATATATATTTGGTACCAGGAATGGAACTCAGGACCTTGCACTTGCTAGGCAGGTGCTTATACCACTGAGCTATATCCCCAGCCCTTGATACATGTGTATTTTGTTTTAATTTTTTTGAGATAGGACTTTGCTATATAACTCAGGCTGGCCTTCAATTCACTATGTGGCCCAGACTAGCTTGGAATTCATGGTAATCCTCTTCCTCAGCCTCTTGAGTCCTGGGATTACAGGTATGTGCCCCCCAGCACATGTCTATAAACATATACATGTTAACATATCATCTCCTCAAACATGTATTACTTTTATGGCAAAAACATTCAAAAGTCTTTCTGCTGGATATGGACCAGCAAACCCTGACAGGGAGATGAATGAAAACACAGGAGACAGAATATCTTTGGGGAGGGTCGGGGAACTCCACCTAAATGAGGTCCTGAGCTGAGTCAAACTCCCAGATTTACTGAGAAACAACAAAGGCATGGCTTTCTGCTGAGCGCAGATGTGAGTTTTAGGTTAGCAAGGTATGGTGAAAATTTGACAGAATTATTCTTTTATCTGACTGTCCCCTAGGGAGCATCCTTGTTTTCCCTGAAAGGCCCATCTCTGCTGGAGTTGGCAAAACATCCCATCTTCCAGATGGTCCAGCTCCTTGGAGTTAGCAGTGCCCCCGTCCGCCCTAGTCAATCTGAGCAGACATTGACCTGCTGGGTCTTGCAAGGAACTCCAAACCGTTTTTCTAGCTCTTTTGAAATATACAGCATGGCATCATTATCTCTAGTCACTGAATAGTGGAACGCAACAGTGTCAGCTTCATAATCCATTTCTGGCCAGGGTGAACCTGTCCCGAGAACGAGATACCCATGGATGAATAGAAAAGTGAGAAAAACAAGAAAAACAAGAGAGGCATAACTCTCAGATCAGGGCACTTACAGCCTCCTGGACTGCAGCCCTGATTACCAACTTCAGTAACTCTTTACTGAGAAAGAACAAAGGAAGCAGCAGTGCAAATGGGAGGATACCAACTGATTTAGCAAGGACAATATAACTCAATTATCACATAAATAAGACTTGACTTAGTTAGCCATCATGTTATCATTCCTTCCGGCACATTTCAGCAAAGCATTTAGTGTTGACCCCAGGGCTTTTAACAAGGACACAAATACTGCAATCTTTTCCTTTCCACCAGTGCTTTTGCTAGACTTCCTCTGGAAGCCAACAATCAATGCTTGGTCAGTCCTACGGCAATACATTGAAAGAGTAACTAAAGAATGTCCTTCTCCACACAACAGCACTCCGGGAGTTTATTTTTAAAGTCTGTACCTTAGTATCTGTTGATCAACCTCTCCCTGTTTTTCTTTCTCCTATACTCTTCCTAGTGTTTCAGGACTGCTTGTCTATGCTCAGATTCCATGGATCAATAGTTTAGATTTCATATATGAGTGAGATCATGTGGCATTTGTGTTTCTCTGCCTGATTTATTTCACCTAGCATAACAATCTGGTGTTTGACAGAGATTTCTTTACATGCTAGGCTATACAACAAAAGAAACAAAGAGGAACTCAACACGGAGGGAGGAAACAGAGACAGTGCCTGCTCTCAGTCTTTACAAGTCAGCTCTGAGCTGGGAGGCTCCTTCCTGACAGAGCTACCTTGTGTAAAGTAGGGCTTGGTCCAAAGTGATTGCCTGAGGTTTTTAAAAGAACTATCTGACTGTGCATCTTGCTTGGGTTTGTGTTTGGCTTTCTGCATCCTCTTGTGCGTGTCTTCTTTTGAGTTCTAACTTCTCAAAGGTTTCTTATCACGAACTTATCAGGTCTGCAACCTCCCAAAGGAGTGGATGGCAAAGGCTTAAATAAAAGAGGCAAGTGGTATGAGTTTAGGGCTCCAGGAGGATCAAAACTCTCTAGTAGGATTCAAGATTCTCTGGGGGCTGAGACAAAGAACTTCTCTGGGTGGCCCATATCTATTTGGTTTTCAAACAGAGGGGAATACTGAGGAAAGTGTGGGAACTGAGCAGGACCTTGGAAGTCAGTTCAAGGACTTTTCCAAGTAATAGATTATGTTAATTCAGGAGAACTATGTTATCTCCAGGAAGATCTTCACCACTGGAGTGAGATATCTGCTGCTATAGTCTTTATTGGAGCTGCAGCCAGGCTAAGCTGTGGCCTTTTCTCATCCTTTAAGGCATTACAGCATCACACACCACTACAGGCCTCAGCCAGGACCAGTGAGTCACAGAGGTTCACTTACTTTGAGTCCACTGCCCATCTCCAGACAAGGGGCCTAGGTCTTGGACAAACTTAAAAGTAAAGATGGAAAGCTAATTGGTTAATTTTATTCTTTTTTTTTTGGTGGCACCAGGGATCAAACACACCATCTTGTGCTTGCCAGGCAGGCACTTATGCCACTGAGCTATATCCCCAGCCCCCAATCGGTTAATTTTAAATCCTGCTCAGAGCCATTCATAGTGGTCTCCATCAGTTTGTCCTTTTTGTTTTTGCAATTGCAGCAGCTGAAACAGGACTTGAGGTTGGACAGGTCCCCTGTAGCAGACTAAGAACAGAATTGGATTCGGTGGATTCGGCGTCCCCTGTACCACACTAAGAACAGAGTAAAAGATGAAAGCGTGTTATACACTCAGTGCATTGTAGACTCCAAGATACGTCTGGTGGCAGCAGACTTAATGGGTTTGAAGAGCTCATTTCTCTATGGCCACATGTTCTAGGATGATGTTTTATGACCTCTTACTGCACAAATGTACCCTCGTCCTGATGTTATTAATTGTATTGGTCCCTTTTTTTAAGCCTGCCCTTTAGTGAATGCGTCCATTGGCCATAATTGAAGGCTCAGCCCTGTCTAATTGCCTGTCATACTTGTGACTAACTTAGCTGTCCCTAATATTTTTCCTCTGAAGAGATATCACTAACTGCGGTCAAGGAAGACTAGATATAGTTTCCACCTTAACTGCTTGAAACTGAGAAGGGTGGATGTAAAGGGAGATCACCATCAGGGACCCCCTCCGGAGAGCTAGATCTAATAGCCTCAGACAGAAGTCCTGTTGTAGTTTACCAGTTATGAACTTTCTTTTTGAAGTGGATCTGGTGGATCACAGTAGAAGGAATCTAGCATATTTATTGTTGGTTTTACCTGCATGGTCACTTGGAGTTTCGCAGTCTCTAGGCAAGAATAAAGCAATTTTTGGAGAAATGAGAACATGTATGACCAAAGCATGAGCACTACAGTGGGAGAGCAGATTTGGGAAAGAGCCAAGTCTAGAAACTTTTTATGGGACTAGAGTAGTGATTGCAATCCACTGTCTCTTAGATCTCTCAACTGATGGAGTCTGATGTTTTGGCACAAGTGTCTCAAGTTTTAGCTGATCTTACCAAAAGAATTTAAGGATTTAAGAATTTAATTTTTGTTGAGCTTCTATAGATTTTATTGGTTGTATCCTCTTAGTAACAGAAAAACTCTACAAGATTTAAATCTGATTGAAGCTTTTGTGTAGTATAGGCTAACAC